ACTGTATCTTTCTCCAGCAGCTGGAACCAGGCCAGCCTCACCTCTTCTCCCCAGCAAAGCAAGAACCGTCCTAAGAAAAGGACAAAACTTTTCTTTCTGTCCCTCCCCTAGAAAGCCCAGAAGCAGAGCCAGATTCACCCTGAAGCTAAAAAGCTTAAGCTTCAGGACCACTCACTTTCCATCTATAGTCCAGAACCCTGGGAGTAGCCATAGCAAGGTGTTCATATGATCACATGTCATGGAAAAATTGCAAAAGTAAGATATTTCTGTATTATTTTTTCTAAAGAGGGACTTCCAAATAGTATAAACTTCAGGTTTCACAAAACCTGGCTGTACCCCCACTGTGCAGGTTTAACACAGGATGCCTTATGATAAACATCTCTCATAGCCTGTTAGTGGAACATTCTTTAGTCGAGGATAATGTTAAGACTCTTGCTTCTTTGACTTGGAAACAAGCAGCTTAAAATGCTAATGACATCACATTCTGGCTGAAAACCACCTGCTAAAGTATAATCCCTCAGTCATCTGTTATCAGATGCTGGGCCTGATTTAATAAGGAGAAATTAGAGGTGCAGAAGACTAGTGGCTGGGGTAGATGTCTGAAGTAATTTACAGAGGCAAGTTCTGTTTATCTTCCTTTGTGCTGTGTCAGGGAGCTTTTTGTCCTGTATATCTGGCCCTTGCCCAGTCAGGTTCTCCAGAAAAAAAAACAGGACCAATAGGATGTGGATAGTTAAACAGAAATTTCAGGGAACTGGCTCAAGAGATTATGAAGGCTGGCAAGTCCAAAACCTGCAGGGCAGAGCTGGCTGGAGACCCAGGGAAGAGCTATGTAGCCATCTTGAGTATGGAGGCAGTCAGAGGGCAGAATCCCTTCTTCCTAAGGGCACCTCAGCCTTCAACTGATTGGATGAGGCCCACTCATAGTATAGAGGGTAATCTGCTTACTCACAGTCTACTGATTTAAATGTTAATCACATCTAAAAAAATACCTTCAAGGCAACACCTGAACTGGTGTTTAACAGAACACCTGCATTCCATGGCCCAGCCAAATGGACACATAAAGTTAACCATCACACTTAGCATTTGGGAACATGGCCACTCAAACATGATGTACGTCAACTGTGTTTGCTGTGATTTTTGGAGACCTTCCTACATAACAGTAACTTCCTTGAAAGCCAAACAATAACTCCTGTAACAGCTGACGTGAAATGCACAGGACTTGATTAATAACTAACAGCTTCCTTAAGTATAGGTTCTGACTGCAGTGTGATTATGACTATATAACACTGTAGGAACTTCTTTTCCCTGCTCTCTGTAGAAGACACTTTTAAAGATTAAAAAAATTATGTTTAGAGGGTTTTTTATTGGATTATTCAAGTTGTGGATTTTAGGCATCTTTATAATACCAAAAAGTATTTTAAAGCATTTTGAAATCTACCATAATGCCTTCACCCAGAATTATTTACTGCCTGGGAGGGCTGAAAGAGTAGGAAGTTATTTCAATCACGGAGGGATAACAGGATTTATATTCAGAGAGGAGGCTTTTCCTGCTAATGATGACTGATGTGCCTGATGACTAAGCCATGGAGGACTGAAGAGGTCTGGAGGTGAAGGTCACTGAAGAAGAAGTCCAGAACTGGGAATCTAGTGCTGTGGGAAGGAACTGGACAAGGATGACATGCCAGGGAAGACGGCAGCCTCAGGCTGGTGAAGAACTGCAGAACCCCAGTCCTCCGTGAATTGTGGGTGGCAGGGCAGGGGCAGAACCTAAGGGAGCAAGGAGGGCCAGAAGACAGCAAAGGTAGCTAACAGTAACTTCGAGGGAGGAGGTGTTAGTGTTAAGCAGAAATAGTAATACCACCCCTGGTCTGCATATACTATACCTAGTACAGAGTCTGGTGTACAGCAGATGCTCAACAAATACTAGTTTGAGAGATTGAATATGCAGGTGGGCACTGAGCAGGCCATATAGAAAAAGAAAAACTTGACACACAGTCTGCAGCAATCAGCCCAGGAAACCCACCCAATACCTACAGTAAACAGCCCAGGAAGCCAGCCCACAGACTACACAGAAAATCAGACTTGTAAAAATTCAGCTAGCTATCTCTTGTAACCAGTCCAGGAAGCTAAACAATAACTCCTGTAACAGCTGATCTGAAATGCACAGGACTTGATTAATAACTAACAGCTTCCTTAATTTTTGCCCTGCTTCCAATACACAACCAAATAGAGAAAGCCAAATATGCAACCCTTGCCGATCACATAGATGTCTCACTTCTAATTAGCCTGCCTACAGCTTCCCCATGCCAATGGCCTCCAGCCAGGGTACACCTGAAGCCTTCCCTTTTTTCCCACCATGAAGCTTTCCCACTCCTCTGCCTACCTTTGAGTATTGGCCAAAAGAGCAAATGTTGGTGGCTGACTCCCCTGATAGCCTTTGCTTGTGGTCCTTTGGTTGGTCTTCATTTATTTCCACATGTTCAATTCTTTCGTTTATTCATTCAAGCAGTTACTCAATATTTGTTGAGTATCTATTTTATGCCAGGCTCCATGCTATGCCCTGAGAATAATGAATGATCCAGATGCCAGGGTTTCTGTCTCCAAGCTGATCAGGGATCAGTAGGAGAAAAAAGGTAAGCATCAAGCTAAGCACCCTCTGGAAAGGGCTGTGATGAGGAGCAGCTGAGCCAGACCTGGGGATCAGGGAAAGTGATGTCTCCACAAGGACCTGAGGAGTGGGTTTGGCCAGGGGAAGAGGGGAAAGGGAAGTATTCAGGAGAGAGGGAATGGTTTTAAAAAGTCAAAAAAAAAAAAAAGGTGAGATGGTTGGATCTTGGAGTTTAAGCCTGGAGTGGAGACCGTTGAAGGTGGAAAGGCGACAATGGTCAGACCCTAGACCCCATGAAGGAATTTAACATTTATCCTTATGTCAACAGTGATCAAAGTTTCCTTTTGGAATCATCACTCACCCTCCATGTGGAGTGAGGCCTGGAGGAAGGCAAACATGGAAGCAGGGAGACCAGTGAGGAGACTAACAGGTGGTGGCGGCTGGGCGAGAAAAAAGTGTACAGATTGGGGAGCTGATAGATGGCTCCTGACCAGGACATCACGGCCGAAGGCGGGCAGGGTAAGAGAGGAGGAAAGGGGCCAAAGCTTGGACAGCTGAGGAGGAAAATGAATCCAGTCACCGAGAAAACGAAAACTAGGGCAGGAGGCTACAGGAGAAGAGATAAGACGTTTGAGATGTTCTAGAAGCAGGCAGATGTGCAAGTCGAGAGAAAGGGATGGGCGCGGGGAGGACGGGAGACGTGGGAGCAGTGAATCGCCATGGAAGACGTTTCAGATCGCCCAGGGAGGGACAAGCTCCCCCAGCGAGGGGCTATAGGGGGGAGGGCTGGCAACACAGCTGTGGGAGGCAGCATACCCAGCTGGGAAGAGGAAGACAGGCACTTGTAAGGCGGACCAAGGAAGAGCAGCCAAGGAGGAAGCAGGAAAGCCAAGAATTTGCTGTAACTCAGAAACCAAAGATTTATGGTATTCCAATCAAGAGAGTAGCCACCAAAGCCTTGTTTCTTCCAGGTTCCTCCCTGCTTGCCTTCCCCTCCCAGATTAGGATGGCCTCCCGGACATTCGGAAGGATTCCTCCCCCAGGACTCCAGGAACCGGCCCTGCATTGCCCCATAGTGTTGCCCAAGCGGCAACACCAAAATGCTGGTGTGCGTGCCGCTCATAAAGTAAGGCTGGATAACGAAAGAATAGGAAGAGATGAACACATTTTCCCCTAAGTCATGCCCAGCTAAGGAATTTACTAATACCTTGGTAAGGTGATGGGACTGAAAGTTAGTTCCAGGAAAACAGAATTATTCTAGTTTGATGACTGTACATTTTACAATTAACTATCTAGTCATGAGCCCTGGTTATTGACTGCCTACAGTACCAGCGGTGGGGACTGATAGTGAATTTCCTCTCTCACTAGCCTGTGTACAAAACGGACCAGAGGAAGGATAACGATCCACATTTCAAGGCCCTCTAACAACTTGAAGCCCCACCCGAGCTGTCACTCCGAGTCTCTCTTCCTCTCTCTTCCTCTCTCTTCCTCTCCCTCGCTCTCCCAGTATCCTTGGCTCCCCTCTCCTTTACGTCTCCATTACCCTTTCTCCCTCACGCCCCCCCACCACAACACCCCCCTTCCCACACCTACAGCTCTGGGTCGCCACCTGGCTTCCGGACTAGTCCGGAGACTACCCCTCCCCCCCACGCTTCCTCACTGCGGATGGAGCGCTTGGTAACGAGGCTGCTGCCTTCTTTACTTCGCAAATCTTTGACGACGTTGAGAGCAGCCCGCGCTCAACCTGGAGAACGTCCTTCTCCCTGCCCTGTGCGCCCACCCCCAACAGCCCTGGTGGAGGGAGTTCCTTAACTTCCTCCCGCAGCCCGCCTCTCCAAGGACGCAGATGGCCAGAACGAATCTCCGAGAACCCGAGTGCGCTGTGTGGCCGCATCCTCACTGCCTCGCGAATCAACCGGCCCTGGTGTCCTAGGTCAGAACAAGGAGCGTGGGAACCGGGAGACTGGGGTGGGAGAGGGCCTTGACTTCCTTATCTTTGTACTGTGATTGTGTTACCATGTGCAAAAGAAAGTATATGGGTAACACGCGTTATTTCTTTTTAATTAAAATCAAAATTAAGTTTGCAATGGGTACAGAAATAGCTGGTAAACTGTGGGGAATGCAAGGAGCCCTGTCCTGCCAGGCTGTCTCCAGCTGTGCCCCACACAGTCCGCTGCCACCCTTTTGCTACAGGAGTTCTGGCCTGTGAATGCCGCGGTGCCAGAGCCCCGCAACCCTGCGCCCCTCCTTCTCCCCTGCTAGAGGCAGCGCGGAGGTCCTGAACTCAGCGGGTTCTCCACCACCGCCCAGGCAAGGGCTGGAGGGGAGATTTTCCAAGCCAGCACCCAAGGGAGGAGCCCGCGCCCCAAGCCCTCCACCCGCGACACACCTTGTTTCCGCCCGCGCCTTGCAGGCGCTGCCAGGACGCCGGCAGGAGTGTCCGGAGGAGGCGAGGTTCCCTCCACTCTTTGGTTCGCCTAAGGCCAGGGCGCCAGGCACCGCACCAGGCCCCAGGCAGAAGCCGATCCGCGGAAGAAGTGTTCAGCGTTCTATGTGCGTGCCCGAGGCCAGGCCCAGCGCCACTGTGCGTCCTTCTCCCGCACATCTACAGTGAGGGGAGAGATGGATGCATCACGCACGAATGGATGGACTGAACCACCCACTCGCTCGTGCCTGTGTAAGTTCTTCTCTAGCGCCCTCTAAGAACTTGGGAGGGATCAGCGAACAAAACGAAGATCCCCACGCTTGCAGACCTGGGGCCGGATGTGATTGGATAGAAAAAACAATGAACTCATAAAATCATATATTGATGTTTAGCCCTAAGTAACCTAAAAACCTCCTCCTACTGCTATGAAAAGCAAATCTTTGACAAATTCTGTCCAGCATGCACCAGACGAAGCCGGTACAGGGAGGCTTCAAGTATGGAGGGTACATACATGATACAGGGAGGGTACAAGTATGGAGAGCTCAAGGAAAGCACGTGTCTGAAAGAGAAACCGTGGGAACAACACGGTTGTACATTCCCTAAATGGGAATAACAAGGGGTGAGCTCAGACAGTAGTGCCCAAAAGGTCCAATTAACAAGGAGACAATGACAAAAGAAATCAAAACCAGAGCATAGCAGAACTAGATCTACTCCAAGCAGGCCTCTGGCAGTCATTTTTCTTAAGCTGCAAAGCAGAATAATTTGCTCCGAATTTAGTTTGAAGACTTTTTTTTTTTGTAATTTGACACTATCAAATGCCCATTTAAGTGGTATCCCTTGCAAGGCCTACATTCATTCACACACAGGATTGATGCAGACAAAACATGCCATGAATTACCTGTAGGCAGGGTCACTTTCAGAAATGTCTATGATGGTCCTACCAAATTCAATACCCTCTTTTTATAACAAATAGTTTGTAAAGCTCCTTTATTATCTTGAAATAGAATTCATAGATTATATAATCTACCTATATACATAAATGCAAACACTATATAGATACATAGATGGATATCATTATAAGATCTGCCACACCTCCCAGCCAAAGACCCTCAGGAAGACACTTGCAATTGAACAAGTTAAATGTGTTTATTTATTTATTTTCTGTTATAATGCAGTCTTTTTTTAATTTGTAAAGTATCATTGATATACAATCTTATGAAGGTTTCACATGAATAGCACTGTGGTTTCAACATTTATCCATATTTTCAAGTCCTCACCCCCCACTGCAGTCACTGTCTATCAGCATAGTAAGATGCTCTAGAGTCCTTATTTGTCTTCACCCTGCTGTACTGCCTTCCCTGTGACCTTCCTTATTGTGATTGTGATTATAGTGCCCCTTGATCCCCTTCTGCCTCCCTCCCCACCCACTGGCGAGAAGTGGGAATCTTTCCATAATTGGTTATTTTAATAAATGTTACTCAGAGGAAGACAGACTAGAATGGAGCTAAAGCTGACATAGTAAAGGAGCAGCAGGACCTTGTATTATTAGCCAAGATAGATGTTCAGTCATTTCTTCGGTTGGGACCATGTTCTCATTTAGTCTGCATTCAGACATGATTACAGAGTGCTCTTGTTTTCATCTAGATCTCTCAGTGTCACAGGCCCTGTCTGACACTGGTGTTCCATGAAATCAGTTATGTTCAGCAGGAGAACACAACGCCACACGATGAGTACCATGCCAGCTCCCAGCTTCCTTTCTCTTTCTCAGACCCTAACTGAAATAAAAAAGGAGAGAGAAATAATGAAAAATAAATTAACATATGTTTCCATATGTAAATGTTCCAGCATAACTATACTAGAATACATAATAGAGTCAGATTACTGTACCTTCTTCTATGAGTCAGTTTGGATTTAAAAATAAGAACATCGGAAGTATTTCTTTACAATAAATACAGAAGAATGAAAGAGCTTCCAGTTAACGCTGGAGTTAAAATTAGTGTTAAGATACATAATGACACACCAGGTTCATTTGTGTATAGAAAGAAAGGATAACCTTAATGGAAACAGGAATAACATGTTAAAGAATTACAGGCTGTCAAAGAAGAAAATGTAAATAAGAACAATATACTCATAACAGCATCTTTAAGAGTAGTGACAAAATATTCCTTCCATGTGAATTGGAACAAGGCAGTGATAAAATATCTCAGAGATCATATCTCCTGTCTTGAAATTTCAATACTCATTCAAGACGTGCATTCCAGCATGTAAAACCTTGAAGGTCATATACAATAAATCCCCAAGATAAGGCATATTTTAATATAATGGAACTCGCTCCAGACCCCTGACCAGCCCTCATTCCCAAACCTGAGTCTCAAGCTAGGCAGATGAAAAGGATAATAACCTATCCTAGAGGGTTGGTACGGTGAGTAGAGATAATATTTGGGACATACTTGTTTCATAGTGCTCTAAAAGCTAGCCATTGTCATCACCATGGTCTGCGCATCACACACACACACACACACACCCAGATGGCATTCTCACTTGGGTCTCCGTGACTGCATGGAAGTGGGAATGTGCATGGTCATGTTTGTGAGAGCATCCCTGGCCACCCTGTTGCAGGCTCCAGGCAGTGCAGGCCCTCTATTGGGGAGATGGAAAGGACAGGATGGGCATAACTGAATTGGGACTTGCTCAGTTGGATGTATGCATAGTTGTGTACAACATGCTTCCATATATTTACCTGTATGCCTTGTTTTGATGGTACAGACTTCCTAGAAATTAGTTTTTTACTAACATCACAAAAATGCAACCCTATATTTTACATGATTGCTTTTGTACTCCATTTATTTCACTGTGGCCTGGAGTTATTTTGCTTCATCAGGTTGTGGAGAATAGAGGCTGGATTGGAAAAGAATACAAGAGGTCTTAGAGAAGTTAGGCCTTCAAAGGTGGCCCACTTAGGACTTATCAGAACAACAGCGAAAATCCTGAAAAACAGCAGGGAATCCAAAGTAAATAAAATAATGCACAATTTTCACAAAACTTTTTTCTTTGCATTGTGCTAAACATCTGGGACTAATTTTGTTTTAATGGCCTACAAATCTATGTTGCCAGCAAATTATAACTGAGGCTCTATCTGTGGTACATACAATGACATTGGAAAAGGGAATTATTTTTCTTACAAAATCATTTATAAGGGTTTCAAATACTGTCAACACCTTTGTATCCATTGTCAGTAATTTCAAAAATAAATTTCCACCATAGCTGTTTTCATTCCTTAACTAACTTCTGCATGTGAGCAGAGAGCTTCCTATCCCATAGGGAGCTCTCATCAACTTGTAATGAAAATTTACTTGCCTGATCTCATTACACAGCTGATACTCAACAGCTTTCACCATCTCTCCAATTTTTCTTAGAACGGTATCATCAGAATTCAGTGGAATAAAAAATCATTTTGGATGAAATTTTTCCCATCATTGTTCTAATAACCTTTCATTCACTGGTAATTTGAGGGTTTTTTACAATCTGTTGCTTACCCTATTTTGCAAGCATTAATATTATTTTAATAGAAAACAGCAACAACTTTAATTTCTACTCAAAGATTTTTTTTAACATTCAGTAAAAATTCTAGTTTTCAAACTTTTCCTTTAAATCTCAGAAGCATGATAAACTGTTAACTCTATAAATGTGTTTCTTTGTAAAATCTTCACCTTATCTCGATGAGGTCCCTACTTATTAAAAAAGAACTACAGAGTTCGCATTTTTACAACTGTTCACATGTAGGCAGATAGAAAACCACATTTTCAATATTCAACTGAATATTGTTGACTGTTTTCCTTTATATTTGACATTTTGTCATACAGGCTAAATCAGAATACTCCTATGTAAACACAGAATCACCATGAAGATGACAGTTAAAATGCAGAGGGATTCGGTGACTTCAATAATACACGATTGCCATCAATGGCTTTCCACAATGGTGACTTCTTAGGACAGTTTTAAATAAAACACAGTACAATCTTCCCTTGATGTATGCAGTTGTTGCTGCCTAGGAAATTGGTACTTACTAAACCTTACCAAAAACTAAAACAAAACAAAAAACCCTTTGTATTCATGTGTAAAATGGTATTAGTTCTGGATTCAAATAATTATGCACAGGTTTTTCACCTATGTAATCCAGATTCAGTTGTGTTCTAGAATTAGATTATAAACAAGTTTCTCACTAGTATTTCAAAGTCCCAAGGGACACAGGAGAGCCTTTTTGTTGTGCCAATCTGGCCCCATTAAATGCCAGCAGTAACCCTTATGCATTGTGACGAAAAGAAAAATTCCATTTCCAAAATACCCCTGGGAGCAGTATCATCCCATTAATTTTTATGAAGATACAATCACGCATCTGTGGTTTACCATCTAAGTTACACCTGATTTACATAAAAATATAGCCACATACACACGATCAGGGCTGTTTTAAGACTTTATAAGACTCAGGCCCTTACTCTGGAACCCTTACCTGAATTATATGAAGCATATTAAAATGCACCCCTATCCTATAGTAAATATACTAATAGCCAGACTGCTATGTGCCAGGCACCATTCTAAGTATTTTACAACAACCCTCTGAAGTAGTATTATCATCATTCCTATTTTACAGATGAAGAACAGGTACAGAGAGGTTCAGTGACTTACTCAAAACCACACAGCTAGTAAATAATGGAGCCAAAATATAAAGGTAGGCACTCTGATGATGAAATACTGTGGCCTATGAAGCATTTTTTTTTCACTAGCATCACTAGTTTATATTTAAGAATAATTTAAGGTGTCATTTATGAGTTAGTTGAATTGCAGATGAATTAAAATCTTTGTCAATTTCAGTTGTGAGGATTCTGTTTCGTATTTTGAGCTAATCATTTAATTTGGGATCTCAGACATCATTGTATGTTCCTTGAAAAGTCCCCAGACCCCAGTACCAAGCCTGCACTATCTGAAGCCTACAACAGCACCTGCCATGCAGTCTGGGAGACCCACACAGGCACTCATCTCTCCCCTTGTTTGTGTGTGCATGCGCCTGTGTGTATGTGTGTGTGCGT